AGTCTTGTAGGACCAAGCCCTTACTTTGTGGGATCTGGCACTGTCTCCAATAATACCACAGTAACTACAATCTTAGTTTCCCAATGATCACTCACATAATCACTATATTCTCTGTCTAAAGGGTTAAGGGGCCTTCTCATAAAGAAGTTTGAGCCTTTAGGAATTTCACTCCCTTCTTGGGTTATTTCTCCAAATTGTACAAAAGGGAGGCAATGGACCTATTTTCCTTTTTCTGACAAGAAAACTATTGGGTGGATATTGCCAGCTTCTTTAGCACTTAAGGGAAAAAATATAACAAAGCACAATCGCCTAAAGTAAAAATAGCGTCCAGGCAACACTAGCTGTTTGGGTTGCAAGAATCATCTCCCAGAGCTGTCACTGGAAACAATGAGGAGAGTCTGCAAAAGAACTCTAATTCTCCCTCCTCTAAAAACCGTCAAAACCCCATCACACCCATCGAGTCCTTACAAACAGTATCTTATGTTGCTTTCACAACAGAAGTAAGGGCAAAAATGACAACCAGAAATTAATGCTTGTTCCTAACTTAAGGGGGAAATGCTCTCCCTAATTCTTACTCAGGGTATTTTTTAAATAGTTAAAGTTGGGAGCTAGCTATTTCTTACAGACAATTATATACTATCTCCTGCCAATGGTACTGACTGGTAAGGCAAAATGGGCCACAATTTTATGTAAAAAGAACAGACCTGGCCTCTCAAACTTTGGGGTTAAAGGAGACACCCACCAAGGAAAAGCAAAAGACCACTACAGAGGAGTCACAGAATTAGGAAGATCCCCAGATTGTTCTATAATTTGCCCGAGAATGCTGCTGAGAGTGACGATCTAAACAATTATTACTAAAGATCTAATAATTTGTTTCTCTACTCTTCGAATTTCTCTCAAGAGCAAGAGTTTAAATATGTTTATTATGGTATGAATCCCCAAAGGTTCCTTTCCAAGAAAAAAAAGGGAATGGTATTTTTCAACCCTTTAGCAGCTAAGCACCCCATCCTCAGATGCCACCTCACCCAGGTATCTCAAAAGAGCAATACGAGAGCAGGGCTCCTGAAATTTACTCAGTTGCCAACTTACCTTCCAGTTTACCTACACATCAGCTGTGTTTTCAACCTGACACTCATTGAACAGGTAGCCGCCAATGCCCTTCATCCCCTATTCATTTCTTACCCTTGCAAAGCCACCATATCGATAGTGATGAAATATCTGTAGGCAGGTTGATCCTGCCTCTATGAGAGCAAGGCTATCAAGACACTGTCAGAGAACATAATCATATGAAGCTTGGAAAACAATTTCAACCAAGACCATTTGACTGAAGAAGCTGCCTTGGGGCTTTCAACCTTACAAAATAGATTTTGTGACTGTTCTACAATTTTCAGGCTAAAGTGATTTCAATTAAAATTAAGAATAACCTCTAAACATATGGCGAAAGTGGGTCTAAACCCAGGTCACAAGATCATATCAACAGGACATGTGCATCGAAAGAAAAAAACAAAATTCTCTCCCGATACAAAGTGAAATTGACAAAAGGAAGGGCGGTCCGACTTTCCCCCAGCTGCCGCTGAGACGCAGTTAGGAGAGGCGTGTGGGTAGGTGACAGTCCACAAAGCCTGTCAGAGCCTGGCTGGTCGTTAAGATCTGCAGGGGCTGCTCCTCCCTGGCCGGGCAGGGCAGGTGTCCCCTGCAGCCTGGACCTGGGCTGCAGTGCGAGCCTAGAAGGAGCCTTGGCCACTGCCCCACGGGTCTTGGCCTGGGTCTTGAGCATGCGGGGGTTGAGCACGTGAGGCAGGATCTTCAGCGCGAACCACACAAAGAAGCCATTATTCAGGGGACTGACAGGATATATTGTAACTGCTCCCATCATGTCAACAGGCATCACTTTAATGGGCGTGTGAGAATTTCTCCCACTTGAAGTAAAAATGACTCCCATTTCAATGAAAATGGGAGATTCCTCATTGGTAGGATCACAATTCACCCATGACAGCTGCCAGACACAAGAACAGACGTGTCAGGCGTGCACGGGGCTGATTTTTGTCTCTCCAGGCAACGCTTCACATTATAATTTGTCTCCTCTTAAAACGAAGAGATGAGCAAGTTACAAATATAATTACTATATTTCTGAACAAGCGATAACACAGGCCACAAAGTGCTGAGAGGGCTGCTCGCTTACCTCCGGCTCCGGCTGGAAGGTTTGCTCTTCTTCAGCGGAGTTGGGTAAAATTGCCCAGGTTATGTTGGCACTGGCTGGTGGCAAAGAGCCGAATGTCCCATTTTTCAGCTGCTCTGTGGAATGTGACTTGGGCCCGGGCCATCCCAGGATGTTTTCTGAAATAAAGACCTAGATTGATGCCAAGTATTTTCCAAATTAAACATTTATAGCTCAAGAAATCTTTGTACCTCGCTGCCTACAGAGACTGCCTTGAAACGGGCCCACTTTTGAATGGACCGTGATGAATGTAAGTAGAGCTTGTTCTGAATGATTCAGATCATCTATTTATAAACTAGGTTCTATATAACGGCAGTCTCAAAATCACCACAGGCTATTTCCTCATCCTTGGAGAGAAACAATTCATATTTTACCAAAACCGTATTTTATTTATTTTATAGATATGTTTATTGATTTTTAGAGAAAGAATGGGGGGGAGAGATAGAAAGAAACATCGATCAGCTGCCTCCCGTTCATGCACCAACCAGGAATCAAATCCGTAACCTAGGTATGTGCCCTAGGAATTGCCTAGGTACGTGCTGGGAATTGAACCCACAACCTTTCGGCATAGAGGTCAACGCTCCAACCAACTGAGCCACCCAGCCAGGGCAAAAGCCATATTTTCTTAAAGGTGTTCTCTCTTATTTTTTAACTTAAAAAAAATTTTTTAATGTTTACAACAACAACAAAAATGTAATTTTATCAAAAATGGGCTGCTCGCAATGTGGTGTGAACGTCCCTTGACCTGATGACCACAGCTGATGATCACGTGACACCACCTCTGCAGTGAGACACGGTCAGTGGGGAGGCCCTACCGCTAAGAACAGATGTGGTCATTCCATTGCAGCAAGAAACTCTTTTACAAACACCAATCTGGTAAGCAAAAAGCATTTTTCTAATTCTCCACCAATCCTTGAAAAGGAAAAAGACTTTCTAGCTCCAACGTTTTTTTTAAGTCATATGTTATTACAGAATATTTGTACATTCTTACCATTGGAGACAGGGGTAACCAGAGGTGGATTTCTTTACCCCTTTAATAGCACTTCTGCCATTAGAACGAGAATAGGTCTCACACTCAGCTGTCCCACCCTCTGAAGATCCTGTTTTCAGTGTGCATGTGGGATAAGCGATGAAGAAACGGTCGGCTAAAGTGGAGACTGTCTCGTGTGGACTAGAACTCAGCCTTTCAGCATCGTAGATGTCCTATCCATAAAGCAATCATATGCATCAGCTTTTTCATTAGAGTTACTCATAGAAAAATCTACAAGTAGCCCAAACTTTTAACACCAGGAGAGAATCTGGCAGATGAAAACGAAATAACAGAGGCCGTTCCAAGGGCTGTGCCTGTGCATGTGTGGATCCAAGCAGGATCCAAGCCAACATATTCTTATGCAGAAATCGTTTTTTAATGTCAAGTGTTATATATCATATAAGTCAGCCGCTTAAAAGCCTCAAGCGGCTTCTCATTGCAATCGAAACACAATCTAAACCGCCTGCCTGTGCGACTGCCCAGCCTCATTTCACTCTCTCCCCATTGCTCTCTGTCCTCAAGCCATGCTGGTATTTTCTCCATTCCTCAGTGAGCCAAGTTCATCACAGTCCAGAGCCTCTGAGTGTGCTGTTTCTTCTCCTTGGAGTGCCATCGCTCCAGTCCTATATGGGGGAGGGGGTGTCCTGCATAAATCCAGGGGCTGCCTAAATGTCACTTGCTCAGCAAAGCTCCCTGCGACCTTTCTGGCCACAGCAGCACCCAAAGACACTCCCTGTCACACAGTCAGTTTACTGTCTTCACACACTGAGCACTATCTGAACTCACCCCGCTCATTTATCTGCCTAGCATCTTTCTCTTCTCCCCAGAAGACCAGCTCCTTGAAGGCAGAGACATATCGCCCTCACTCATGGCTGTGTCCCTAGAACCTAGAACATGGTCTAGCAAAGGGTGTGCACTTAATAAATATGTGCAGAATGAATGAGCAACTATTAAGACTTTCAGAGACAGTAAATTTCAAAAAATATGTGCATTTTACGACCTGCTAAAAGATAAAAAATAGGAAATGGGAAGAAAAAAAAAGACAAAGTAGAATGGTGGTTGCAAGTGGGTGGGAATGGAGGGGACTGGGGATTTAGTGTTTAATGAGTATAGTTTCAGTTTTGCAAGATGGAAAGAGTTCTGGCAATTGCTTACACAACTATGTGAATGTATATAACACTACTGAGCTGTTAAGATAGTAAACTTTTTGATATGTGTATTTTACCATGATTTTTTAAATGGCAAAAAGGCATCCATACATTAGTCTTTGATGTCATTTAAAATAGGTGAAAACTCACACTAAAATCAAAGGCTGCAGGATGATCTAAGACCAGACTTGGGTTCAAGACACCAGAATTTGCCATAAGAAAAGTGAAAGGTACTTCTTACCTGTCCTGGTGACCGATGCCTGCCCAGAGTCCTGAAGTTGCATTCAGACCTTAAATACTGAGCAGCTGTCCCATAAATACAGGGGAACCACTTTGTTTAAATTTTATTACACAGGTAATACATGTCTTCTAGATTAATTAGAAAAGCTTAAAAAGCACTAGGGGGGAAAATGAGATCTGCCTGCCTAGGCAATCAGGACAGTGTTCCTTCCACTGCTCCCACCCCTCACTCTGCCCCTCACTCTGACACAGCCCCCCACATGCCACCGAAGCTCGGCAGTATCTTCTTAGGCCTCTGAGGACTGACATTTCAAACACATACAAAAGGAGACAGACAGAGCAGTCCAATGAGTGCCAAGTTCACAAAGCTGGGCAACATTTTTGAATAACAAAAACCAAGAGAAAAGTTTTCCAATCATTTAGGCAGAAAAATTAGATTTGTCTGAAAGGGGGAAAGAAATCAAGCGAGCCTTGAATGTTGCTACAACACTAAGTGCCAGAAGGCGAACAGATGAAGGGGAACGCACACAAACTGGGGGCGGGTGAGGGGCTTGGGGAGGGTGCGCCTCTTCTGCTAGGAAACAGTCCACGTTTCCTGAGCTCTTGCTAGGAGCCGGGGACTGCTGTACACAACTTACCAATTTACGTGTGTTAAAACTCATCTAGTTCTAATGACGGCCCATGTGGTAGGTCCTACTATTATGCCCAATTGGCAGATAAAGAAACTGAGGCACACAGAGCCAGTTAAGTGGTAGAATTAAGATTAAAACCCAGGCAGCCTGGCTCCGGAGCCCAGACTCTTACACTCTACGCTGTATGTCTTTTCAGCAGCACCGAAGTGACTCAAAAATATTCAACATTCTGGTGGGTAGGAAACTCTTCGAGGACATGTCCACTAAATAACGAAAAGAAGCAGAATTTCAAACTCAAGACTGGAGAAGCCATATATAAAAGGACTAGCGCTGAGTGATGAACCCATTTAAACACAGAGCTGAGCAGGGCCGGGATTAGGCTGAAGTAAAAAAGACACTCCCATCGGATGTAAAATTTAAAGAGTTCAGCAAGACACTCAGTAGTAATCCAGATAAATGATATTTTCACACAATATCTTTTAAATCAAAATTAATGCCCCTCCCCAAATCTTACAGGACTTTATCTCAACTTGCCTCATCCTAATCCTCACCGTCAACAAATCCTATCTTTATGTAAAATTTTTATATTCTTTTTCCCTCCCTCCCTCCCTCTCTCTCTCAAGAAAGAATTTTAAAAAGGCCAGACGCCCAAGTAGCCCAGGCTTTTCCAGTTCTGATGTAGTCCTGCCTGCCTTTCTGCACAGAATCAGAGGCTTGCATCTCGACTTGGGAAAAGAGATGCCCGCTTGCCCTGCGTTCCTCAGTCATTTGCATCCATCAAGCTGCTGAAGTAGATTTCGTAGTCACCAGGAACAGAAGAGAGCTGCAAAGCATACGCCTTGACCAAAAAGCCAAGTCACTTTATTAATTTTAATTAAAAACCTCTCCACAAACAGAAGTTCGATGAAGCATTTCAGCTCACTGCACCTTAGAGACAACATCAGAGACAGGTGTAGGAGCCCAAAACACATAGGTGGGAGGCAGATGACTACAGGAAGTATTTTTGGATTTCAGTCCAGGGGCTCAGTGTGTTTGAAATGAAATGAGCATTAGGAAGCAACATCTGCAGACAAAGGCTCCAAAGACAACATACTCCCCAGGAGGTACAATGAGATGCTACAGGAGATGAAATACTACAAGACCACAAATTAATTTTTGATTTGGAAAAGGGACAGAAGAAAAAAAAACAGAAAGCAAAAAGACCTGAGGCAAGAACGATGTGTTTGGCTACTCGGTATTCAGGAGGTGATCTGTGCCTCCCTGCCCGATGAACGTGTAAAGGAAACCCTGGCAGAGTTGTGCTTTAATGAGATTTTTTATTTCCATCAACCCAGCCCGGCACGCCTTAGATATAACCATTATGTTTTTATCAGTGGGAGTCAGGCTGCTGTAGCTCCTACCAACCTCAAGAGCCCTGAGAGTCTAAACAAATGTATTTTGTGAGGACACTCCCAGGGTTACTGTATTCTCTTATTCCACTAGTTTGAAAGTCTGGAATTTGGTTTTAACTGCAGGCAACTATGATGTTTTGGATGCAGGGAGTAATTCAATTTCCCCCCCTCAATGTGTGGCACAGATTTTTAGATTTTATTTATTTATTTTACTTTATTGGTTTTTTTTAGAGAGGGGAAAGGAAGGAGGGAGGGAGAGAGAGAAGGAAAGGCAAGTGCGAGGAAGGAGGAAAGAGAAAGGAGGGAGAGAGGAGGAGGGAGGGAGAGTCAGCTGAGCCTCTCCACAGTCCCAGGGGAGGAGGGCTCCTCTGCCACCCTTGATGGGGGTCCCTACCTCAGCCCCTCCAAGCCCCCAGTGCTGCAGCCCCCCTTCCAGAGCAGGTGGCAGGATTAGGGCCGCCGTGGCCTGGGGAGGCTGAGCTGCTTCTTTGCATATGCAAAGAGGCTCCTGGCCAGCGACACCACCCCCGCTGAGCTCTTTGTCCTCACACTCAGCCTGGCCCTGAACTGGCTGCTTGACCTTGAAGCCCTGCCTGCCAAAAACAGTCATGCAACTTTGTTTCCAAGAAGCTAACCTAAGGAGACAGGGAAGGAGGGAAGGGAGTAAAGAAAAGCAGAGGAAGGCTGTGGGTACAGGATGGCATTGCTCTTTGGGATGCAAAATAATATTAAAACAACATAAATAGTGAGCAGTAGGGGTGGGGAGCTAGGGATGGGACCTGGAGGATGGGTTCATTTNCCCTGATGGGGGATCAAACCCACAACCTGAGCATGTGCCCTTGACCAGGAATCAGACCCACCACCTTTTGGTGTATGGGACAACGCTCCAACCAACTGAGCCGCACGGGCCAGGGCAATGTGGCACAAATTTAAGACACATGCAGAATGTTTTAAACCTTAAGGGGCTGTGTTATATAGAACTGAATTAAAAGGGTTAAGAAGACAAACAAAATAACCACTGTGATACTTCATGCTCCCCGTATATTCCAATCTCCATCCAAGTTCCTTGACAGAAACGGCTAAAAGGAAGGGAGCGAGACAAATGGAACAGGGCAGGCAGACAAGAGTAACACCACCGGTGGCATAATTTCAGGGACACTGCTGGGTCTCTCTTTCTCCAGGATAGCTTCCATTTCAACCTGTCACCACATCTGAAATTCCACTTTGAGCTTTGTCCCTCCAGGCCCTAAAAATACCAGACAACCAATGAAAATCACGGGGATGGGGGTAGAAATTTGCTAGAAACCATCCCCAAAGAACGATGTAAGGAATTGATTTTAGGAAGAAAACAGTTTAAGTTTACGTTTACCAGTGAAAGACTCTTGGAAGGAGACTCCTAGGTTGCAGAGGCTAGAAGTTACGATATAGTATGAGAGAGACCGTAGAAACCTGGAGAAGCCTCCAGTCTCAGTGTGAATTTGTGCCCGAGCCAGAGTGGGGTCGGTCACTCAGGCTCCCTCCGGATCAGGAAATGTCAAGGAGCCTCATGGGAGCTTCAGCAGCAGTTTCATGTTTCAACAGGAAAGGAAGACAGAAGAGCAGGTCTGGGTCGTTCGTGCTGGGCCTGAACGCACACATCTGCACCTAGGCTGGATCCAGCACCAGAAACTGGTATTTCTTTTGTTACGAAGGACATTAATAGAGTAATCGGCAAAATTCAGTAAAGTCTAGGGAATAGGATTGGATTCATGTGAATTTAATGATTTTGACCAATGTGCTGCCATTATGTAGAAGAGTGTTCTTTCTTATGGACTGAAGTGTATACGTGTAAAGGTATAACATGTCTGCAATCTACTCGTAAGTGGTTACAAAATCAAAATAGGCTTAGAGAGAGAGAGAAAATGATGAAGGAAACATCATAAAACGTTCTCATTTGGAGAATCTGGATGGATATATGAGAATTTTTCATACTGTTCTTGCAACTTTTCTAGAAGTCTGAAATTATTTCTTTCAAAGTAACAAAATAAATATATAACTGCCCTGAGAAAATTATGATGTGAGCAAGACAGTGTCCCTGGCCCCAGTGAGGGGACCCAGAGCCCACCGGTGGCACAAAGAATCCGGGTGGCACAGTGGGAAGAGCCCGTCTCTTGCCTCTTAGCTGGGTGACCCTGGACAGGTATTTTAACTTACTCCGAGCCTCTGCATCTCATCCAAATGATCGGCATGACAGGATCTACTTTGTGAAGATTTCAGAAAATGTGTAGCAAAGGTCAAATGCTGGTAGAATCGAACCTCAGTAGATGACAGTGAGTATTACAGAAAGAAACCCAAACGACCTAGACACAGTCCACTCTGGAAAACCAAGACCTCTTTTAATCTTAGTAAAATGGACAGCAGGAGGGACTTGAGAAAAGTATGAACTATGGACTCTACCATCACAGCACAACTTTTCACCTCTCAAGCTACCTCGTTTCCTCCCTAATGAAGTTAATCCTGGGCAACAAAGCTCAATGAGCCTTCTGTTAGTCTCTTAATTCTAACACTTTATAAATTAAACACGACGTGGCCAACCTCAAGCTAGTTGCACCTTCATCGTTGAATTTAACCTTCACTGATATATTTATGTCTGTTTATTGATTAAACTCTCGTCTCCAAAAGAACAGAGGCATCTTAAGGGAGGGTATTATTATCTCTGCTTCTAGATTAAGAAGTAGAAATGCTTCTGGTACGTATTCCAGAGACACTGTCACACACGTCCCTGAGGGGCCATGCAGGAGGATGCTCAGTGCAGCGAGGCGAGAAGAGCAGAGAGCAGGAGGCCATGTGCGTGTGGCCGCGCACTGGAGAGGGAGCTGGGGGAAAGGTGGTGGACACACACCACAGGCATCCTTAGAAACAGTGGACCCCGGATGCTGCCGAGCGATGGATGTTAAAAACACAGCACTGAGCGCCAAGTCACACACAGAACGAGACTCAGGATGTCACGCCAGCCAGTCTAAAAGGAGTTCTTGTAAACATGTTAGTTAGATGTTTCATAGGATGTTATACTTCTAATCGGTAAAAGAAAAGTATATCCCGTACCGGGTGGGGAAGGAGGGAGGGATAAATGGAGAAACACTTGGATAAAAAGAGAGAGGGATGGGTGGGTGGTGGGTGAGAGGATGAGGCACGGGAGGAAGGCGACGGCATGCGCACACGCGCCCACGCACCCTGGACAGTACCCATCTGCAAGCACAGAGCTGCGCACTGGGAGGTCTCACCTGCGGCCGCCGGCCTGTGGCTGGGCTGGCCCGCCTGGTGCACGCTCTGCTGTAACAGGTTGAGGCACTCCCCGAGGCAGCTGAGGGTCGCGGCAGAGGTAGCTTTCAGGAGCAGTAGATCCTGGTCCAAGGCAGTGAGGGGGCCAGAACCCGGCAGAGACTCGATGGCGTGCACGAGGTTCTTCTGCTGTCCTTCCACCTGGCTCATCATCTGCAAAATGGGAAGGCAGCCAGGAGGTGAGCGTCAAGAGTTCTCCTCTCAGCAGGCTTGGGAGCCAGCGCTCAAACCATAGGGACCGGAGGAAAGTCAAAGGGCAGTGGAGAGAGAAACCATCATCACCCAGACAACAGGTGACATCAGGGTCAGCTCAGGCGAGGGCCAGTACGTGAGTGCTTTGAGGATGCAGGCCTGGGTGAAATCTGTCTATCCAGGGACACATCTTCAGTTCTGATCACTAGAGAATTTCTGAACTTTGCAGCTGGAAGGGACCATTACAGCCATCTGGGTACATCATTTTACAACTCTTCTAAAAGTACGTCAATAACAGGTACATTACAGGTAGAAGTCCCTGTGACCATCCTTAAGGTTCTTTCACTGTGGAAAGTTATCCAAGAGAGCTGACACACCGTGGCCTTGCCTAAAGCAAGGTTAATACCTTGCATTCCCTCCAGCTCCTATTCCTAACTCCTTGTCAGTCTTTCTGAAGTTCAAGAAATGGAAGTGAAGTCTAGGGCTGGTGATTTGTAAGAGCAAGATCAAAGTAAAGCCAGCATTGAACCGTTCCAGCCCCGCAAATGCCAGATAGGATGTGACTTTCTTAACACCACATCAGACGCCAAGAGGAGGGAAAACCCAGGGATTCTAGAACCAGCCCTATTCCATAGCTGAAGCTATAAAAACCCAAATAACCGTATTTTGTGGCCTGCCTTCAATTCCTAAGCTACAGATAAGCAGTAGACTAATTGTATGTTCAAAATACAAATCAAGAGAAAGGAGCTCAAGAACTAGAAAAGGACTTCACTGGTTATCTTGCGAAGTTCATCTCCCTCCTATTTTTATAACTCATCTCACTAAACAAGATGATGTACAGAAAGCGCACATACACAGTCGCTCTGAGGAGTGGAGGAGCTAAAGCAACCTGCCCCGGGTCCAGGGCTGGTCAGCATCAGAGGCAGGGACCAACTCCTGACTCCAGTCCACCGTTCTTTAAGCTTCCCCCACGAAAGCCATCCTTAATCTGAGCAACACCTCCTGCTTTGTCACTGTCATCCCCACAGGATGCTTGTCACCATCATGATGTCACCAGCTGGGGAGAAGCAATAATTCTGTCAGGACCACTGGACTTGGACATAAAACTCATTCCGTGCTCAGTCCTATTTTCTATTTCCTTTGAAAACAAAGACTTGCTGCTTTCTAGCAGTCTGTCATTGTCTGCTTTAAAAAAAAAAAAAAAAGCTCACTCACTGCAATCCTACTTACCAAAACAGGTACCATTATTTTAAAAAGATTTTAAAAAAAAAACAAACCACACACCAGTGTTGAACGTATTGCACAAACGAGGTTTGCAGCATTCTCACCTTAATGTGCGCACACCCCCGTTGGCCATGCACATGGTTTTTTGCAGATGACAGAGGTTGCTCCTAGCCCTTCTGGCTCCTAAAACAGTACCTGAGGCATAACGGGCTCAGTAAGTATTCACTCCTCCTTCAGGTCTTGGCTTTAAAGTCACCTTCTAAAGAAAGCTTCCTGAACCACAGAATTGAAAAGTGCATCTCCAGCCCACCCCTCGGCACGCCTATCCTCCTTACTGACCTATTTCTCTCCATAGCACTTACCACCCTCCAACCCAAGTTGCAATTTATTTATTATGTTCACTTGTGCCAGGCTGGAAGCGGGGATTCTATCTGTGCTGTCCACTGATATATCCCAAGTGCAGTAAAGATGTGTTGAATGAACGACTGAATGAAAGAATGCGTGAATGATTCCCAGTCTCACTCTTCTGTCATGCAGATGCAAGAGACCTTTTAAAGGTGCATTTATGACACCTTTAAGTCAACAGGAGTCATTGTGCTTGATTAGCATAAAATGACGAAGACTTAGGAAAGAATATTACCTCCATTATCAGTTTAGGTTTGCCAAGAAATATTGCCAAATGGTTTAGTTTCACTTCAAACAAGATAAAAGGTTTATGTACTCTCTGACAGTCAACTACAGGTCGAGCTGAGCTGCTAACAGCTAGGGAGAAGTGGGTTTCAAACTATTTGTTGGGAGTCAGCAGTTTCTGTAAATTCCTCCCATAAAATCTTGTCCTAGAAAAATGATGTGTTGACAGGAAAGAGAATGATGAGACGTAAAATACATTATGTTCTTGACTATTATGCAAGATGCAGTCATGCTTACGAGAAAAGGTAAGTAAAATTAAGCCATTAACTCTACAGGATACACTTGTTTTTAATCCATGAGAAGAACTAACCACATTCCAATGGTACTGTCTAGGACAAATACTTGTTATTTCACAAGCATAAAATATGATGTTAAATCTTAGGTACTGAAAACACAAAACTGACTTACGGAATCTTCTAGTCTGCTACAACAGAGGCACGTGCCCAGAGATGGAACCCACATATCTGCTCTCTGAAAAGTACTCAACAGTATTTTATAGAGCCTACAGCCAGTGCCAGAGTCAGGACTGGCCTGCTAATGGGAGCATTTGAACCAGCAGTGGGCTCATTTGACAGTTACAGTGTCTGAGAACTACAGGCACTGAGAGGGAGGGGGCTCAGGAGTGCTAAAGACCCCCCAAGTCAGGACACGGTCCCATGTAACAAGAACCTTCCCGCTCAAAATGCCAAGAGTGCCCCCTTGAGTAACCCTGCGCTAGAGACACGTAAATAACCAGGCACTTGATGAAATTCAACATCTTTCTTGGTAAACTGAGCCCTAAAAATGAAACAAGCCCAGCACAAGGCTTCACACACAGTAGGCTCCTCCTCCAGATTCATTTTCTCCCCTTTTTCCATGTGATGCGAGATAGAACTTTAATCTTGAATGACACAATCGATACCGATCTTCACTTTACTTTAGCTTCATCAGGCTTCAAAAGAAATGGAACGAACCCTAAAAGGAACGCAGGCCGCCCAGCCTCAGAGCTGTACATCAGGGTTATTACTGCGCTAACGTTTCCAAGACAGGGAGGCACCGATGAAGAATCGTCATCCGCCTTTGGAAGAACAAGCTTTAGCTATTTCCATATCTAATTTTCATTAAGGGCACCTATGAAAAGATGAATGTGGCACTGAAAAGCTGTATGCAACAAGAATACCAACAGCCAATGCTTAAAGCAGCTCCCTCTCCCCTTCAAGGTTCCCACAGGCTGATCAGAAGAACAAAGCACAGCCATTGACAAGCAGACTCGCCTACCACTCCTAGGCTTTGAAAACGTCCAGTCACTTTAATTACAGAAGTTTCAAATCCCAGCTCTCCACACTTCTTCCGAGCACATCAACATTAATCATTTGTAGTGCTTAAAAACAAGCAAAAAGATGCCTAAGTTTCATTTCTTTTCTGGCACTTGGTTTCCACCATCAGGGACATCACCATCTTATGAAACAGGGTGTAAATTTCAGAGATCCACCCCCTGGAAATGTCAACCCTGAGGTTGTAAAATCATCTACATGTAGGTCAAGTTGAACTTCACAGATAAGCAAACTTCACAGGGAGGGGAAAATTCTATGGCCCATTTATCTGGCACAAACAAAATCAAATCATAGGAGTTAATGCTCATAAAATCAGTGGCAGCAGCTTTTATTTTATTAATTTACTTCAGTAAAGCTGAAACTAAGATGCACAGACCGAAACCCAATGTCATCCTGCTCAACAAGCTTGGATCTGGATCGAGAGAACTGAAGGAGACAGAAAGGGAGAGGGGCTTCATGCGCCTTGACTGCTCAAGACTGCAAACCTTGGATCAGGCTTAAGAGGCTACCAAAAAGGCCTAGCCTTTTTTTGAATCCTTAATCAAGGATTTTTTCCCCCATTGCTTTTCAAAAAGAGTGGATAGGGGGAAGAGAGAGAGAGAAACATCGATGTAAGAGAGACACATCAATTGGTGTCCTCCCACTTGTGTGCCAACCAGGGCTGAGGACTGAGCCTGCAGCAGAGGCATGTGCGCTTGGCTGGAATAGAACCCAGGACCTTTCAGTCCACACGCCGAAGCTCTAACCCCTGAGCGAAACCAGCTAGGGCCAAAAGGCCCCAGTCTTGATAGGCCAGATGTCAATGAACACCCGCTTAGTCACTCAGCCATTAGGAACCGAAGGATGAGCACCAAGCACCTTCTCCTAAAGTAACCAGGACCGCCTGCCTTGGTTGGCAGAGCCTCCCGGGTCCACAGACCCCTTGGTACCATCAGTAACTCAATCCACCTTGCCTGGAAGTAGAACAAAGAATCTGCTGATGGCTTCAAGGTCACCTTAGTTTGGCATTTCTCCTTAGCCGGGTGCCATTCCAAAGCCCCTTGTAAGTTTCCCCTCTAGGTCAGAGATCACTCCTTGCTAAATTAGGTACTTTTTCACTTGGCTAAAATCCTCATCTAAGCTTGGAACGCCACAGGCCGACAGAAAGACTTGAGTAGAAGGTAAGGGATCAGTAAATAACCACCTTATTCATTCATTACCGACATCTGCGCCCTGACTTTCCGCACACGGAGACTCGGACCTGAAGGGGGCGTCGTGAGCAGACGGGGGCGCCGCACGTGGATGGAGGGGCACCCTCTCTGCCTCCCAAGCACAACACCGGAGGCCAGGGCTCTGCAGCAGCTCCATCCGCAGGACGCTACCCTGTTCCGTTTTCATTAAAAATATCTTTCATCTTTTTTTTTTTTTTTTTGGTACAAAAGTAATACTGCTCACAGAAAAAAGTAATCAAATAGAAAAAAAAAAAAATTCAACACATACAAAACCAGAGAAAATAAATGTTAAAATCTTGGTGTATATACACTTACATTTCTATGCATATAAATGTACTTTTACTTTTTATGAAAACGGCTGCACATCATGCTTGTCCCCTTTTTTTAGTCCACACACCGTGTCGATAAATTTTAGCCTGCGAGTAAATTTTGACAATACTGTGTAAAATATTGCAGATCACTCCATCACATAAATGTCCCACAATTTATTGCCCAATTCCCGACTGCTGGACATTATGATGAC